GTTCGACCAAGAAAAAACTTGTTTTAACATTAAAGTGGGGGTAGTGAAAGGCATTTAAATCTTTCTTTTTGCTTGTCATTGATCAGATTATTGCTTTTCAGCTACTATTTTATTTTCTTTGGAAGAAAATGGTCTAATCAGATATGCTCCAGTATCAATAACATATCTTCTGCCAGGAAGGAAAAAGGGTAATAGCAGAGGTACTACCACCATTAATAATGTAATTTTCTGACTTTCCTTGTAGCAGAAATGTTAAACCAAGAGAAGTTTTTGCAATTTATGATGGTATACATGGTCATCTGCAGCCTAAACTCTGTGGAGTTAAGTGCTTGGTGAAATACTGTCAAGGAAAACTGGGCATAGGGTAATTTACTCTGAAATGTACCAGTAGTGTCTGCAAAAAAGAAGGGGACAGATATTTATGTGCAAAGTTGAAGTATGAAATTTTAGAGCCAGAAGTAGCTTTAGAATTCAGAGTAAAATTCTTTCGTTTTACAGATAAGGAAACTGAAGGCTCACAGAAATTCTCTTGTTCAAGCTTAAAATCACATAAGCTTCCTACCCTCCGACCCCAGTATCTGAAGCATTTTATTGTATTTTTCCCAGTGAAAATCAATGATTAGCAATAAATCGTTTCATCTTTTAAGGGCCCCTAACTTACAGACTGATTTCCTTTTATTCCATCAAAGCAACAGCCAAGTAAATTTTAGAAATTCCTCCTGACTGTCAAAAGGGTACTTAAATGTGTACATCTGAGGAGATGCCTCAAAGGATCTAAAACAACCTTACTTTTTACCAGACACTGGTAAACATGACAGATCCTTACCCTCAAGACTTAACATTATTTTAGGTTTTGCTTAGTGTTGTAAAAAAGCTAAAGCATGGTTAGGGGACAGAGTGACAGAAGGTAGAAGGTTATTTCAGACAGTGAGGCCAGGGAAAGCTGCTGTGACTCGGTGAAACCTGAGCAAAGGCCTGAATGAAGAGGGAGAGCGAGCTGTGGAGGTCTTTTTTTTTTCTTCTTCACAGCTGCAGATACATACTTTTTTTCATACCTGCAATATACTTATATACTGAACAGACAGAAAAAATGAATGTCACACACAGGTTAAGCTTAGAACTAAAACCCCTTCCCATGGCCCTGCTTTGTTAAACTTGTACAGGAGGCTGAGAAATTTTTCATTAACACTGAAAGGCTTTATATACTCAAAAGATACAGGAGAGCCTGGAAGGGACTGTTCTGAGCAGGGAAACAGCATGTGTGAAGGCTCTAAGGTGGGAACAAGCTGATTGTGCTGCAGGAACAGTAATAAGGTCATTGAAATAGTGTGAGTTAGGGGGGAGGAGAGCAGTGGAGGGCCTTTGAGGGTTTTGTCATAAGAGGTTGGGTTAGATCTGAAGAGGGACTTGATCTGGTTTTCCTTTTAAAAATAATCACTCTGGCTGTGGGTGTGGAAAACAGACTACAGGAGCAAACAGGGAGACAAATTATAATACGAATACAGTGGCCATTGCAGAGAACAGTAAGCAAAAATAGACTCTCCATTTTGTATTAAGGCGCCCTGGCAGAGTAGTGCCTAAGGCACTTGACTGCTAACCAGAAGACTGGCAGTTCAAACCCATCAGCCACTCCTCTGAAGGAAGGTTGGGCAATCTACTTCCATAGGGATACTGCCTTGGAAACCCAAGGAGGGGTTGGTATGAGTTGTGTCCGACTCGAGGGCACATAACAACAAGAACAACAACAACGAACAACCTTGTTTTAGGCCATTGTTGTTGTTGTTGTTATGTGCCGTCAAGTCGGCCCCGACTCATAGTGACCCCTCCTTGGGTTTCCGAGGCAGTATCACTACGGAAGTAGGATTGCCCAACCTTCCTTCCGAGGAGTGGTTGGTGGGTTTGAACTGCCAGCCTTCTGGTTAGCAGTCCAGTGCCTCAGGCACTATGCTACCAGGAAGTATGGAAATCAAAGTTCAGAGACAGACCAGCCACTCCTCGGAAGGAAGGTTGGGCAATCCTACTTCCGTAGTGATACTGCCTCGGAAACCCAAGGAGGGGTCGCTATGAGTCGGGGCCGACTTGACGGCACATAACAACAACAACAACAATGGCCTAAAACAAGGTTGTTTGTTGTTGTTGTTCTTGTTGTTATGTGCCCTCGAGTCGGACCCAACTCATACCAACCCCTCCTTGGGTTTCCAAGGCAGTATCCCTATGGAAGTAGATTGCCCAACCCATTAGTCCAAGGTAAATGTACACCAGCTTATAGTGAGGTGGCTGGGGAAGCCCACCACATCTTATGTCCTAACTATGGTGCATGGGGTGCTTAGAATTAGGAATCACTTTGATATGAAAAGGAAGAACTTCTTAGCTGCAGACATGTAATTGCCTAAGTGGTTCTCTGAAGGAGTGGGAATGCTTTCACTATCAAGGCCTCTGAGGAAAGTCTTTGGGGATAACATAATTGCTTGTAGTTCTACTAGGATAACATGAAGGCCCTGGGTTAGAAAGTTGTTGTTTTGTTGTTAGGTGCTGTCAAGTTGGCTGACTCATAGTGACCCTACATACCACAGAATGAAACACTGCCTGGTCCTATGGCATCCTCACAATCTTTGCTATACTTAAGCCCATGGTTGCAGCCACTGTGTCAATCCACCTCATTGAGGGGTTTCCTCCTTTCTGCTGCCCCTCTACTTTACCAAGAATGATACCATATTCCAGGGACTGGTTGGTTTTGACTTTGGAGAGTAGCAAGAACTCCCCAGCCATCAGGGGAGGTGCTGTTGTCAGGCCATCCTGAAGAAGGTGCTCTTACCCAGGCAAACCAGTACAACTGTTCTAAAGGACACTGGGCTCCAGTGTTTAAGAGTCCATACTGGATGTCTATGGGGATGGTGGTGGTTCAGGGATAGAATATAGTCATCTCTGCTGGAGACCCAGGTTCAATTCCAGCTCAATGCAGCTCAAGTGCAGCCACCATCCGTCAATGGAGGCTGTTGTGTGCTATGATGCTGAACAAATTTCAGTGGAGCTTTCAGACTAAGATGGGCCAGAAAGGCCTGGTAATCCACTTCTGAAAATAAGCCAGTGAAAGCCCTATGGATCACAATGGTCCAATCTTGTTGTGTGTGGGGTGGCCGAGAGTCGGGACGACCTGACGGCAACTAACAACAACAATGGGGGATGTCTAATAAGGACCACAATCAAGCCATTTTCCAAAAGGGTAGTTTTAGTATTTAAAACCAAGAAGTGACAGAGAGAATTAGATATAACAGAAGTCAACATGGCACAGAATATGTACAGACCCTCTTTTCTAAGCATTTTATACACTGAACAGCTTTACACTAAGGATAAAACCAGCCTGCTGTAAAACTGCTTGCCAACTTCTACCCAAGAAGGTGCCAATGAAATGAATCTTTCTGAGTTTAAGCAAAATAAGGACTTGGGCTGCTTATTTTTACAAGTTCCAATTCTAAAGGATCCCATAGAATCTAATCACTGCTGACTGGAAAAGGCCACCAACCTACATTTTTAAAATGGTGGCTCATTTATTTGTCACTGTCAATTTATGCACATGTGCAGAGCACTTTCTTTTTCTTACTCTCCTATTACCCTTTCATGCCTTTAGTCAACTTGTCTGAATGTGGCAAAGTTATTCTACTGCTAGCTAGAAAGCTGTAGAATTCAAGGAGGGGTGTCAGAATCTGAAATGTTATGCTAGAAGAAACTATTCCATTATGTAGGCAATATAAAGAGCTCTGGTAGCATAATGCCTAAAGGACTTGATTGCTAACCAGAAGACTGGCAGTTCAAGCCCACCAGCCACTCCTCGGAAGGAAGGTTGGGCAACCTACTTCCATAGAGATACTGCCTTGGAAACCCAAGAAGGGGTTGCTATGAGTCAGGTCTGACTTGATGGCACAAAACAACAACAGGCAAAATAACAGGATTTTTAATATTGACATACTGCTTCTTTTCTGAATTCTGTGTAGGATCAACCACGAAGAAGAATTCAGGGAAAAACTGTCACCTGGTGTCACGCCAGCCAAACTATCATCCCCTGGTGCCGTTAAAGATGCCTTCTACAAAATACTGGAACAGTACTTAAGGAAAATAGTAAGGGTTCTTCCCCTCCACACTTTATAAACAAATTTACTGCAAATAAGAAAGAAAAACCAATGGGAGCTGAAATGGAGCTTATGGGGCACTTGTTGATAAGTCAAAGAACAACAGTGTAACAGGTGATTTTCTTAGATGGTGAGAAAACCAACTAATAGAAGATGACTTTAGCTTTTTGACTCCCTAATTAATTTTGCAGAAAGATAGACACATCACACTACCCAGGAAGCCATGCTGCTGCAGATGCTCCACCCCACCTCATGAGAAAGAGAAGAGCAAGCACAAACCAAAGTGATTGCTGGACCTGCTCCAAAATAAAAATAAATAATAATAAAAAAACCACTTTATGGGGTCCTTTTTGGAGTCAACACCTAAGCAGCTGTGCTATATATCATCTGTCCCTGCAGACACCTCTTCCATGTGGCAACATCACCCAGGTTCACTATACTGATGATGTCTTCAAGAGGTCAACATTCTAATTACAATAAATAATGAACTTAAAATGCTAGAAAAAGTAGACTATACTTAAATCCTTTGACATCTGTCCATATGTAAATCTGCAATCCATCTTATAAAGACTTAGATTTAAAAAAAAAAAAAAAAAAGTCACATTAAAGTTTTACCACACTTAAAAGTGTCAGCTTCCAAACAAAAAGATGCATTTCTGGAAATTCTAGAGAGCTGATATTTTCCTTTATATCCACCTTGAATTCAGTATTATGATAGGTTATCTTTCCATGTCTATATGAGTAAGATGAACAGAGTTTCATGATGCTGCAATGTAAATCATAAACACCAAAAGCAGTGATGTCCAATCCAGGGGGACATGTCAAGGCTTAGAGCTCTTCATGAAAGTACAGCAAATCACTGAGCCATCTTACCTGTCGACGAATTATTCCCAGGTCTCTTTTGGCTTTATTCACTAGGTTCTGAATTTCTACAGGATCCTTTACATTTTTATTTTCTCTGAAGGCATCTCTTATCCTCCTGATAGCATAAGTTCTAAATGAAATTCACAGAAAAAAAGGAAAGGCGTCAGCATGTCTGATGTTATGCTTTTAAATCAATTAAAAAGCTATTCTCTTAGAATTAACTGCCTAATATTGCTGTATGGATAATCCACTTTGATCTTTGCTCTCAGGACAGCTCCATCCATTACTAGTCTGGCGTGACTAAGCAAGAAGACTTAGGAAAATAAACCCACTGCAAACAAGTCACATACAAATGTCATTCCCCCCACAGTGCTATCAAGTCAATTACGACTCACTGCGACCCTTCAAGACAGAATAGAATTGTCCTATGGGGTTTCCAAGGCTGTAAATCTTTATGGAAGCAGACTGCTTCATCTTTCTCTCATGGAGTGACTAGTGGGTTTGAACCACCAAACTTTTGGTTAGCAGCCAAATGCTTTAACAACCACTATGCCACTAGAGCTCCTTTACAAACGGCAAACTACTACGGAAATGCTCCTTAGATTGCTGGTCCCTTAGATTGTTAGGCACAATCTGGCTTTGCTCCATTAACGTGGATAATCAAACCCTGGTTGTGAAGAGACAAATCAATAATTAAGAGCTTACATGATGCATCATGTATGTGTGCATCAAGACAGTGATCTTTGCTGGACTCAGGTTAGTGTTTCAATCTCTGCCTTAACTTTTGGCAGTCACTTGGTCTCTGAAACATAAAACATAAGGATGTGATATGGGATTATACCAAGATGCTCCCAACTAGCAAGTGCATGCATCTGCACCGACATGTGCACACATCCGTATGCACACCCACTTCCCCAGATAGAGGTTACACACAGCGTAGGTTAGCAGCTAAAGAGCAAGGCTTTTGAATCAGATAGGCTTAGGTTTGAATCCTTGCCACAGTTCCTACTATTTGTGTGAAGTCAGGGAAACTTCTTAGCATAAGCCTGTTTCCTCATCTGTCAAACAAGCATAATACCACCTATCTCACAGAGTTGCTGTGAATATTAAGCTTTGTAATGTATATGGAATTTGGTATATACTCTAGAACACAGATAGACTAATAAATTAAACTATTCTTACTATTCTTATTTTTGTAATTAGTATTCCCCTTTCTTCATGTTACTGCCTCACCTTCATCTTGCACCCACATGGTCATACCGGTCAAACTTCGTGAATGTACAGAGGGCACAGTGGTCTGTCTGGATAATCAGACACCATATATAATTAAAGAGCCACATACCAACACTCAGTCTTCCTCAATCCCTGTGGCCACCCCAGCTACACTTACTTGGAAGACACGGACTAAGGAAAAGCAGCCCCGGTCAGACTCAGACATGGCTCTCCTTAGGCTCTGTAATGACTGCTTTGCTTTTAACTTTAAATATCAGCTAAAGGATCTATTTCATACTATTACAGCATTTAGCAACAGAAGAATGGAAATAAGGCAAAGAAAGGAGGGAAGGGAATTTCATTTTCCTTGGGGGTTGGGAGTGATAAATAGAGAGGGGGATATACTTGACTGGGAAATCTTCCTTTAGAACGCACTGATTTTGTTTTAAATTTTACTAAATTAAAACTTTTCTAAAAAAAAAAAAAAATTAAGTATCAGGTCTATTTGCATTTACAAGCCATAGTAAAACCAAACCTTGTGACATTAAGAATCATAATAAAGGAAGAGAGATTAAGAACTTGTACTTTTAGACTATAAGACAACGCAGAGGCATTTTTACTTAAACTCTACCTGAGTCAATTGGGGTGTTTGCGGAGGAGCTGCTGAGGGCTCAATATCAATCATGGGGAGTACAGTGATTTTAAATGGAATGCATGTTATGTAATATAACGGGTTGTTCCCCCATAAAGGAAGAGGGGAGGGTTGTACTAATAAAGAAGCTCTGGTAGCATAGTGGATAAGGCATTTGGCTGCTAACCAGGTCAGCAGTTTAAACCCACCAGTTACTCCATGGAAGGAAGATGGGGCAATCTACTTCCGTAAAGATGTACAGCCTCGCTATGAGTCAGAATCGATAGGGGAGGATTGTACTATCAAACACAGATACTCCTCATTTGTGGCTGCTAATTTAGTCAGATTTAGATATCTAGGTAAGCTAAAAGCAATTTCTGGTGCATTTTCTTGCACAGCATAATAGTTATTTATATAATACAGTATCACTGTTCTATCTCACACCCACACACTTCCAAAACAGCTTCTTTTTTCAGTGATGAGAGAAGGGAGGAGACAAAATAATTTAAATATTTTGTCCATATGCAGAATTGGTTTCATAACATGAATTTGTCCTCAGAGAAGCATCCATTGTTTAATTCTTCATTCAGGGTGCTACATGGGCTTTTAGAAAAACAAAATGGGCAGCAGTCATCATTGCTAAACTAATTTTTCTAAAAGCTATTGACTACTGCAGAATAGCTATGAAAAAAAGGAGTCCTGGTTGAATTGTGAAGACCTGAGATCTTCCAAAATTTAAAGAAATCAGAAATTAGCTGAATTTCAATTCAAATCAATTGATAGCCCTAGTTCTAAGTATTCTGTTGTCTGCCTTGTTTGTGGGAGCTCTGGTAGCGTAGTGCCTAAGGCACTTGACTGCTAACCAGAAGGCTGGCGGTTCAAACCCACCAGCCACTCCTCGGAAGGAAGATGGGGCAATCTACTTCCGTAGTGATACTGCCTCAGAAACCCAAGGAGGGGTCGCTATGAGTCGGGTCCGACTCGACGGCACATAACAACAACAACAACTGCCTTGTTTGTCTCCCTTAATCTCCTGAGTCTGAGCCTAAAGAAATGAAGCTCTAAATCTTGGCATTAAATGCATCTTAAATAAGTAAGGGTCACTGATACAAATTTTATTTTATTTTTTTGTGCTTTAGGTGCAAGTTTACAGAGCAGAGTTTGTTTTACATTCAACATCACACGTGTACATTTAGTTTCACTCCCCATTTACCATCCCCAACCCTAACCCAGTCTCCTCCCGTCCCTACCCAGTAAACCACCCCCCCTCCCGTGCCCCTCATAGTTATGCACTCCTGTGTGTCCTGCATTTCCTCCCTGTGAATGTTGCCCCTCTGGTGCCCCGTGGTTGATTGCTCCAAAGGATACATTTCCATAGAGTATGAGGGTGCGTTACCCTGGGTTGAGTGGTCTGCGTGTACATGTTGTTTACAATTGGGCTGAGAGCCAGCCCCTGGGAGTGAGTTCTATTCCAGGCCCAAAATGAATCCCAGGGCCATAGTATTGGGGGGTCTTACCAGACTCCACTCAACCAGTAATTCTGGCCATTGAGTTTTTGGATTTTGTTCCATGTTTTTCCTCCCATTCTATCCAGGATCTCCAGATTTGATCCCTTCATGAGTGGGTGGCATTGGTAGCCAGGCACCATCTAGTTCTTCTGGTCTCGAGGGCTGTTGTGTCCTAGGGCTGATTGCTTCCAAATGCTCTTGTTTTTTTGCACTCTTCTTTGCTTCCGATGATAGGAGACCTTTAGCTGCATCTTAGATGGCCACTTGAAAGCTTTTAAGACCCCAGTCACTACTCACTAATGTAGGATGAGAAACAAAACTTTGATGTATTTTATCGTGCCAATTGAGTCTGGTGTCCTCCAGTACTAGGGTCCTGAGTCGGAAGATCTGTTGGATCTCTCTCCCACAGTATCTGGCTGTCTGTGAGGGATTACTCTATGTCTCTCTTCTGTTGTTTCTGTAAGGATTGTGGGTATTTTGTATCACTAGTATCTGTGCAAGATTAGCCTGCGCTGAATCTATCCTTGGTCTAGAGTATACTCTTGTTCACCGACCCCCATCTGATCTTCTCAGATGTTTATGTCTTTATCTATAGCCTGGTGTTTGGTGTTAATGGTAATGTGGATATACTGGTTGGTATTAGCACCTGTTGTCTGTATCTTATGTGTACAATTAGGTGTCCTACCTTTTTTGTGGATACAAATTTTAGATGTACTTTTCAAATGAATGATGCAGTGGCTCCCTCTTCCTCTCTTACTTGCTCCTAAAACACAAGGTGTTTGTTTTCCTTTGTCCTAAGAGAAGACATTTATTTTACTTGTCTGAGAAACATAAAACTAATCACTATGCATAAACAGTTTCCCAGTTTTATGAAACTTTATTTCAAATGCCCACAATTTTGTGAAAGCAATCATAATTCTGGGTGAATCTTCATATTTTGTAGAAGGTAACTAGCAATTACTTTAATTCTGTCTCTGCCCTGATCTTTTTTTTGGGGGAGTCATTTGCATCTTTTTCCCATTTATCCTTGAATACATCCTAGCTATCAGCCTCCTGACTATACCACTGAGCTAGAACATTTCAAAGAAAAATGTGCAGATGCTGCAATGAAAATAGCAGCCAGCTGCTACACAATGCCTTACATTAGGATGATCCTAATATGACTCAGATGCTGCTTGAAATGAGGCATGAAAAATTAACACATACAGCACAACAACAGCTACCAAATGTGACAAAGCACACCACATCCACAGAGAGAGGAAGGCATGTGCTGCTTACACATTCACCACTCTCTCCATTCTATGGAAGCTTTGCAGAGTTTATTTGCGCTTCTTTGTGTAGGAAATTCTCATTTGGCATGTTTTCTCCATCCCAGCCTTCTCTCTGTCACAAGACCTCCAAGTGTCCACAGGTTCTTCTACTGGCTGTCCTTTCACCACCGCAATGGCAAAGCTCCTTTCTGAGATTCTTTTAACCCTCAAATGCTCCACAGCCAGTAGTGATCAGAGCTCTTCAGTGCCCAGGTCCTGCTTTTACTCTCTCTCCTTCTAGAACCAGATGGCCAAATGTAGTCTGTAACCAGAGCCTCTCCAGCACTGGAGGCTCATATTGGCTTCAGTGTCAAAAAGCTGAATTCCAAACTGCGATTTGGAAAACCAGCTAAAGCAATGCTTCTCATTATGTTAATAATTTGTCATCCTTCCTCAGCATCCCAAAGGCTAGTTTCTCTGTTTGTCTATCCTGTAAAAAATATCTGTGTTTTACCCTACTCCATGAAAG